GACGATAATCGACGGTCGTCGGCGAATTCGCTCTCGCCCACGGGGCCGTTTAAAGGATATCATCGCGATGCTAATTGACCCAGAAATAGCGCAACACCGATAATGGCCGCATATCATTTCAGCCTATACGGGTAAAAGGACTTCGCGCGACTGCTCCGAAGCCTCGTCGGTTATACGAAAAATAGAGAAAAACCGCGCGATATACTTACATTTCACGCGCCGGCTCGTCCATAATTATTTTCCCTTCTACACTCTATTAATCGTTCGCGATAACGACGACGTAGACCGGTCGCATTCGTTGCACCGACGAAGGAGGAAGCCTCCACGTGCGCGAGCTCGACGTGACTCTGTCGCCGGCGCGTTAAACGATATTATCATTAATTGGAGCGTGCAATTGGACCGCGTTACGCAATGACGAATGTATATATGACACTTTGTGTGCAAATCGACCAAATTTTTCACCGACAGTGAATAACGAGAAGAACGGGGCGTTCTTTCTTTCTTTTTTTTCTCCCCCTCTCTCTTTTTTTTTTTAATTTTTATCAACTCGAAATTACACCCGATGCCGTAATACGGATGCAGGCGTTGCATAACGCGGTGCAATCGTGCAGCGAAAACGCGACACTCGAAAGTGAAACGATTTCGTCCGATTCTCGCGATGAGAGTGTCGCAATTAATTATCCACGACCGAAAACACACATACATTATTGTACGTTGCGATAATTAACGCGAATACATCTCGAGTGAATGAAGAGAAAAAAATCCGGGAGGAAATAATCCTTCGTCAGAGAAACGCAGACGGACTGTACCGAATATTGTACGTGTACGATTCGATTTTACACACTCTGAAAGTTTCTGGGTCGCGCGGCCGGAGGCTTTCACTTTCTTTCGTCGCTTCCGTTCTTTCGAGCAACGCGTTCCGTGCCGCCGCCGGCCCTTTTCGCTTTCGTTTGACCCTTTTTCATCCGTTTCACCAGCGTCGTGTCGCGACAATTCTTATTCCGCCTGCTCTTTCGCGCGCCTCGACGAGGGACCTCTCTTTCCTCTCTATCGTATATAGACACGCCATCCGATAGAAATAATATGCGTGAACGTGCGTGCGTGCGTATGTATGTATATATGTATTCGTTCAGGCAGGTACCTCACTTCCGATCCGCACCGGTCTGAACAAAGGACCGGTGTTTAGAAGCGCGGCGCACAATGAGAGGCGGAAGTTCAATCGATCGCTTGTATTTTTTCCAGCGAGATTTGAGTCACGGCCCTCGTTTGCGTCCTGCTTCATTCAGATCGCATACATACACAGTTTTTACGGAATTTGTACGTACGTCGAGTTTCTATACCGTGAATCGAGCGTCGCGCAATTAACGTTTATTTGTATTAGTTCGATTAATTAATCCACGTTATTCGCGAGAATTCGCTTCGACGTGAAAGACTCAAAGGCTTTTAGCATTCGTCCTATGAATATGGTATAGGAAGAATTTGATCAGAGTTTTTCTGATTAATATTTGCGAAAATAAAAAATATTAATATCTACCACAAAAAAATATAAAGTATGTTCGATTAATTTTATTATGTAAGTAGTAGTTTTACAGGGAGAGCATTTTTTCTTAGAATTTACCCTGAAAATTATGGTAATTGTGAGACAATATAATAAAAAATATTAATATTCTTTTATCTAATAATTCGATTTATAATCGATATAGGGGAATAGATAAAATTTTGTTTTACATTTCTATTTTAACAATATTTATATCTGGACTTGTAGCAAATTTTGAAATTGGTTTGAAAAAAGTTATTATCAACATTATCAACATTAAGCCATTACATTAGTATTAAAATATCTCACGATTACCATGTGATTTTCAGGGTAAATTCCAAGAGGAAATTCACCCGGTGTAAAATATGGTATTGCAATTAGCTTAATCAACGAGGTAAAAATTGTCACGACGATTCGATCTAGCTAGTTTGTACGAGGAATAATAAAATGGGACGATGCGGCATTTTATTTCGTAACTTCCTTTATCGACGAATCCATATTACGCTCGTCGTCGTTCTCTTCGTGGTATATCCCGACGAGCGTATATAAGTAACGGAGGAGAGAGAGAGAAGAGCGGATGCGTATTTCGCAAGACGCGCGAGTTCTGTTTCTGGAATTAACCATTACCGTTTCAACCACGTTGTGTGTTCATCCTCTACCCATATCATCCTCGCTTTTCAATTTCCCCGACTCGCACTTTGCTTCTCGCTCTATGCAAATCTTTATTCGAGCTTTCTACACGCTTTTGCTTTTGCATTTATAGTGTTGTTACGCTTTGGAATTATTTCAACGAAGGCCCGAAACAATTCTTTCAGAGTATTATTAAACGCCGATTATTCAATTATTCTATCATCGGGATCGACTGGTCCAAATGTTGTGCTTTTCTCGACGTAATAATTACATTTAGTAGGTAGACTATTCTTTCTCGGATGCTGCCAAAAAAAAAAAAAAATTGTTTTCTCGCGCATCTTTGATATCGCGCGGAACTTTTCGAGGTCACCCTACGAAATTTCTAGGTCGAATTTCTAGCATAAATTCGCGCGACGTGAGCTTAATCTCGAAACTCGGTGCACCCGACGCGATGACAACGTCGATGACAACACGCTTGCGATACTCGGCGCGCGGCGTGCGTTATCAATGTATACGTGCACACGTGTGTGTACGGCAGGAACGCTCGCTCGGTCACTCTTGTACGAGAAAGAGCGCGAGAGTCAGCGAGTGAATAAATGAGTCGGAGAAGCGGATGGAGGAGGGAAAAGAGGGAAGGAAGGGTACGGGGGGGGGGGTGAAAAAGCGTGCGAGGGAGAGAGAAAGTGAGAGTGACGGAGGGTGTGAGAAGGGAGCCGGCCAGAGCGAGACAGAGAGAAAGAGGTATCGCGTCTTTTCACGCGGTGTAGACTACGCGAGTAGAGGAGGCCTAAAGAGGGAGTAGAAGGCGAAAGAAAGACGGAACGGTCCGGGGATAAAGGACAGGATCTACGGAGGAGGACGGGTGTAGAGCCGGAGGAACGCGTGAGAGAGAGGGAGAAAGAGCGTTGCGGAGGGTGCGAGACGCGAGAGAGGGTGTACACGATGATGAGAGGGAGTGAGTCGCGCGGCTGCGTCATGTTCTCAACGAACTAGGTCAGTAGGTCTCCCCACCGAGCGCTTACCGCGTCGCACATCCACTGTTCTGCGCGTATACATATTATACGTATACACCCCGGTGCCGCTGATGCCGGGGAGTGCCAACGGCGTTGCTGTTGACCCAGCCGCGACACGCCGCGCTTCTACCTGCGACGATATTGTCTCCATCTGATATCGGTATCCTATCTCGTATACCGTCTTTGAAAGCAAGAGTCGCGAGAGCCTCCGACTTTGTCGCCTTTTTTCGCAGGTTCTTTGGTTAGGGATCGGACAAAAAGTTTCTCTATCCCAACACATTCGTGATACGCGTCTTAAGCTGTGTCCTCACTGCAGCAACAACGAGCAATTTTTTGTTACGTTCCATGTTTCTTAAAAATGTTGCTAATTGTTGCTGAAAGTTCCTTAAGCCGCGTCCTCACCTCGTTGTTACTCCAGCTTAACACGGAGCATCGACGAAATGTTGGTGCTCCAGTGGGGACGCAGTTTAAGGAACTTTCAGCAACAACAAGCAACTTTTTGTCGATGTTCTATGTTTCTTAAATAAGTTGGTAGTTTTTGCCGAAAGTTTGAAACTGAATTCTCAGTAACAAAAAGTTGCTCGTTGCTGCTCCAGAACACGGTTTAACTTTCAGCAACAACTAGCAACTTTTTTTGAAGAAACTTGAAATCTCGACGAAAGGTTACTCGTTGTTGCTCCGATGAGGACACGGCTTAAAGACGCATTCCACGAATGTGTCGGGTAGAGGATTCGAGAAACTTTACGTCACTCGGCAGCACCGGTCGCTTTCTCGGTTGCCTTCTTCGCTCGACGTTTTCGAAACTCGGCATGATCGAAAATTCTGCTCCGAAACTCTCTGTAAACGTCGAAGACGACGCCGAAGACTCGGACGACGCGCGGACAATATTTCTCCGGCCGACATAGACCTGGTTCCACAAAAGTAGGTCATCCCCGCCATCGGTCGCGCAACCTCCTTCTCGCCGCTCTCTCCCCTAAACCCTGCCCCACCGCGGTATCTTCGACCGCGGCAATACCAGCGGCAGCAATCCGCCTGCTCTCCGCCGCGACCGCGTGCTACTCGACCCTCCCCCCTCGTCCTCCCTCTCGTCCGTACAGACCTCTCTCAGGAGGCACCTCCACTCCGCGTCGGGTACCTGGCCGCGCGCGGTGGCATGCGCTGCTGAATCACTTTCACTTATGCCGTGCGCTGTGTTGGTTATACTCGGTGCGCGCGTTCTCTCTCTGTCTTTCTCCCCGGACTCTTCTCCCCCCCTGGCCATCTCCATCTCACTCTTTCTCGCCTCTCGTTGCCGTCGGTAAAGGGACACGCGCGCCTTCTCTCTATACCCACCGAAACGCCGAAGGAGCCTGACAGTAGTGCGCGCCTCGGCACCGTTCTCTCTCCGTGTGCATTCGGTTTCGCCCAATTTCCCAGTCTTCGCCGTGCTCGTGATCGTCATCAGCATCGTCGTCGTGGCATCATCGTCGGCATACGTCAATCGTAAAAAACGTCGCGTTCGAGGAGAACTCGTGTCGCTCTTCGTTCGAAAATAACGCGCTCTGGCTCTCCGCGTCTGTCATCATCAGCGTCGCGACGCGCTTTATCTCGAAAACGGGAGTGTGAAGTCGATACAGTCATCGTGGTCGTTTGCAACGATTCGATATACACCCTGGGATCGTCATCGTCGTTGACGACGACGTTGTTACCACCGCTCGTGCTGATACGTCACGTATGCCGTGTCCCGTAAAGGCGGCCTCCCCGGCGGTCTCTACCTACCTACCTACCTACCTACCTACCTACCTACCTACCTACCTACCTACCTACCTACCTACCTACCTACCTACCTACCTACCTACCTACCTACCTACCTACCTACCTACCTACCTACTCCATGTACCGAGTATAGGGTAGGAGGAGGGGAGAGTGGGCCCTTCGGGAAGGCAACGAGCCGAGAAGACGACTAGTCGTACGCAGATAGGCGAACTGTCAAGTCGTGCGGTGTCGAGCTTCGATTCGTCGCGTATATCCAGCTCGCTCGTTCTTGTGTTGTGCCGGTACGTTGCTCGATCGAGTATCACAGTGCTTGATTTATTCTCGCGTTGACACGTCAGTAGTAGTGCGGCTTCGCGTGCAATCCGGATCGAGAGCGTCACATTGTTGTTGACATCGACACAGATTCAGGTCTCCACTCGTGGATCGGACGTATTACCGATAAAACACGATCTCATCTGTACATTGTGCTCGAAGCGAAATTGGATTACAGTGCGGACCGGAGTGTGTTGTTTCCCCATTATTCTGTTTTCGAGACAGTGTCGAATGTTTTGCGCGCGCGAATATCGACAATTATATCACTACCATGTTTCGGACGTAGCATTTTCAACAAGTCTCACAGACGAAGTTCGCATACCCGCGTATACTCTTATACGTTTGGTGGTGTACGATGATTTTACTCGATAAATCTGTGTAATTCGTGAGAGGGAAAGAGATACATAGAGAGAGAGAGAGAGAGAGAGAGAGAGAAAGGGTGACTCTGGTGATCGATAAATATTTTACGTGCCACGGGCAAACAGGAGTCGAGTGTGTGTTTTTTTGTTTCGTTTCCTTTTTATCTTAATTGTGCCCGATTTGTTGTCATCGTTGTCATCATCGTCATCATTGATGGCGACGTCAACGGGTGCGCCAGGTCGCGTTTCGAGAACGTTAAACAATTGACGCGTCGTTACCAATCTTCTCCTCTCGCGAACGTAACGAACCCAAACCGGGGAATACATAGAGAAATATCGCATATAATTTATTAGAATTAATTCACTTTCCCGAAGTAATCAACCGTACGCGCAAAAATTGTGCATCGTGGTTAGCCAGCGAAGAAAAGAATTTCCTAATAGATAAATAAATAAACGGCCGCATTCGAGAAAGAGAAAGAGAAGGAGAGAGAAGGAAGAGCTGACAAGCTGCTCCGATAGTTGCTTTATATATGTGCCGATACACGTGCACGTCCGTCCGGCGTGCGGTGCTTCTCGCGCAAGGGTGGTGATATGTTATTGGAGATGGAGCAACATTCGGGCCTGATATCCCTGAGCATGTCGCCGTTCCACCTGAGTCCGCAGGGCAGTCCGCAGGCCGCCGGGCAGCAGCCTCCGCAGCAACAACCGCAGCCGCATTACGGCTCGTCGCCTTACGGTAATTGCGCCCAGAGCTCGCCGTCGCCCATGTGCCATCAGCAACAGCCGCAACAGACTCAGTCGCAGCAGCAGCAACAAATGTCCGCACATGGCCAGACGGTGCAGTCCCAAGGCGGCGGCAGCATGTCCAACTTCGAGTCCAATTTCTACGAGATCGCAGAGGACAATCGTTGCCCCATGTGCGGCCACAAGGACATATCCAATTATCAGTACGGCCTGCTTACGTGCGAGAACTGTAAGGGTTTCTTCAAGCGCAACAGTTCGCCGTGTAACAAAAAGATCTACTCGTGTCTTTTCTCCCCTACGGGGGGTGGCGGCGGCGGCGGCGGCGGCGGAGGTGGTGGTGGTGGTGGTGGTGGCGGCGGCGGTGGCGGTAATGGCGGCGGTAACAGCGGTGCCGGAGGCGGCAGAGGTGGAGGCGGCGGTAACGGCGGCTGCGGCGCGTCCTCGGCGTTCGAGATTTGCTCCGACAAGAAGGTGTACACGTGTCTGTTCCCGCCAACAGGAGCCGGAAGCGGCAACGGCGCCTGCGGCGGCACGTCTACCGGTCTGGAAGGTAACGGAGGCGGTGGCGGCGGCGGCGGAGGAGGAGGAGGAGGAGGAGGAGGAGGCGGCGGCTACACCGGCAACGGCAGCGGTGCGTCTACCGGTGCGTCCGGTGGCGGTGGTCCAGGCACGGCGAACGTCGGGATCAGCGGAGGCGGCGGAGGACCTGGTGTCGCCGCCGCGGGAAGCGGCAACGTCGCCGCCGGTGCGGTCCCCACTGGCGGCGGTGGTACCCTCTGCCATCCTGGGTTAGGCCAGGTCGGCGTCGTCACCGGCTCGATCCCCTGCCCGTCCGACTTCCCGGATACCAAGGACATCATCATCGAGGAGCTGTGCCCGGTATGCGGCGACAAGGTCTCGGGCTATCACTACGGTTTACTCACGTGCGAGTCCTGCAAAGGCTTCTTCAAGCGCACCGTCCAGAACAAGAAGGTGTACACCTGCGTCGCTGAGAGGTCCTGCCATATCGACAAGACGCAGCGGAAGCGATGTCCCTTCTGCCGGTTTCAAAAGTGCCTCGAGGTCGGCATGAAGCTCGAGGGTGAGTTGCTTTTTCTGAAATTTTTAACACTTTGATACATACGAGAGAACGAACGAACAAGTGAGAAAAGTAAAAGAAGATAAACAAGTTTATTTGAAACTTTCTTTACAGCTTCGTCTTAGCGAATGCGACTTGAACGTGAATCGAATGTCAACAGACGCGCTTTGTTTGCATTCGCTTATGGCGTAAGCATCTTCCGATTTAACGACTTGAAATTTGCATTCGTTGATCGTTCGTTCGCTCGATAGGTATTCACTTTTACGCCTACGTTGGAAATGCAAGATGATAAGAAAAACGACGATAAACTGTTGGAGAAAACAATTTCGAGTAAATTGGAGAAAAATATTCTATGCAATCTCTCAAAAACACATCACAAAATTATTCTATAACGATTAGGTAATAACAAAAAGAAAATACGTGACAGCACTCTGAAATTTAAAGTACTTTTTCTGTTACAAAGACAATTTATTATATATTGTGTATAAAAAATGTTTATAACACTTACTATTTTGCATCTTCAATAATGCTAGTGATAAGCGTCGTTTGACACTATCACAACATAATTTGCAAGATAATCTCCGAAAGATGTACGATATAATCAGAAATACGCGCAAATGGGAGAAAAATATTATTATTAATGTTAAAATATTCAATTAAAATGAAAGAAGGATATATTCAAGCTAACTTGCAGTATAAATGAATAGTGGTATCAATAATTACCAATATTAACGTTTTAAAAACCATCAAGCGTAATATATTTTGTCGTAAAACATTGTTGGGCATTTCGATATAAATAAAAGTGTGTTAAAATTGAATAATTTATTAAATCTGAGCGATTATAGATTTACAATTTGATAATTGCAAAGAACACATCTATCTCGCGAGAAGATTTTTTTTTATCTACGGATATTTATAATATGATAAAAAAATAATACTTTACGTATACAGTTTAAGAATCCTAATCGTTGCATATATAGTTGCGTCACGAGAAAAATATTATTATAATTTCTCTTCCACAACTTTCATTTTTCGCATAGCATGTGGTAAAAATATACATAACGTTTTAGAAACGGTGACATTAGGTCCGATAAGTAAATTATACGATAATGTTATCGTCTGGGTCGCGATGATAGCGCAACACTTAGTTAATGTTGCTTAGTTAATTTTGCATATAATTGATAATAAGCTCATAATAATGTACGTTGATCTTTGCAAAACGGAAAATTTCGTTTATATAGCGAGAATGTTATCTTTAAATTCACACATATACGTACATTAAATATTTATGCGTATCTATGCCGTATACAGGGTGTAATGAAAAAGTGGGTCACTATTTCAGGAACATATATTCTACTCATCGAAATGAGCAAAAAATTTGCCTATTATTTTGATTATTTCTAATAATGCAAAACAGTGGCAAATAATTCTCAAATATCTCAAAATAATTTCTTCTCAAATAAAAAATCATCTTTGGACATATATTTATTTCTATAAACTTTTCTGCTCCTTTCGACGAGTAGAAGAAACATTCCTAAAGTAGCGGCGCACATTTTTGTTCTCCTCTTGCTGCAAATTTTTGTTGTTATCATGGAAAGAAGAGAGCGACGCGCACATAATCGCGCGTAATTTATCGGCCGCATCGCGTCATTTTAATAATTTTGCCTTTTACTTTCACCGCGCGCGCTGCGTTTTCCCACCGATGTGTGTGTCATCGGCGTTATATTATATCAAGTGAGTTTAGCGTTATCTCTTATATGGAATATCTCTGTTCGCACGTGCTCGCGCGGCTAAACGGCACGTTTCGAGAGCGCAAACGCGTGCGTTCGTCTTTTATCGTCATCAGACGTTGTCGTTGGTCGCGCTTAGCTCTCTCGTCGACGTTTCCGCGCTCGTAGGAATTTAACTTTATTATATGTATATGTATATATATATGTAGATACACACATACACGTACATATATGCGCCGTGGAAGCGATTAACCGAGTTTCACCGATGGCGTGCTCTCTTTCGTCGTTTTAAAGCTCGGGGACGCGTATCTCTTATAGTCGCGAATCGATCGAGTGCGCGCCTCCTGCTCGCGATATTTGAATCAACGAAGAAGCGGTCGTTATATTACGTGCCGGACAAACAAAATTACGTCACGGCTGGCACTAGTAACACGATTACGCGTCATTATCCACGTGCTTATGTTCGACCTCGTTTAACGCCTACGTCAACAATTTCTTTTTAATTAGCGGGCAGTTTATAAAATCTCTATACATATATATTTCATTATGAGGGAAGAGGGAATATTTTATAGAATATTTCTTCGTGCACATGTAAATAAATAAACAAATGGAAATGTAATTAATTAAATCTGCTAAGCTGCTTGATATAATAATTTTCTAATTATCTTGAAAGAGACCAGCTGGAAAAGTATATACGGAATCCGTCATGTGTGTATATGCCGTATAATAAAGTTAAATTAGATACATATGCGTATTCGATCGATGCTCCAATTTCGATGTATCGCGCCGCTTATAGCATCGTATTCTTCAAAACGCGAAGTTTAGGCTCGCTGCTAAAGCGAAACAGCAGTTTAGTTTGTAGCGTCTAATGCAATTCAAGTAACTGGGTCTAGGCCCTCAAGGCCCAACGATTAAGTGAATCTCGAAACAGTCTCTGTCGCAATTGCCGCTTTTGCACACCGTTTTCCTACGACGTTCCTACGGCGGTAGAACGAGGGATGGCGGACGGATTGCTTAATGCGGAAAGTTTCCAGAGTGCTTGCGAGTGTTTACGAAAGGAAAGGGTCTCTTACATGCGCTAGCCGTCTAACAAACGTAAAAGAAAAATTCGCGTCGGCGAAAATCGCGCGAAAAATACGCGTAAAATGCTCTTAAATATTCGCCGATCTGTCGACAATCAAAATAATTGAGCTGAATGCAATTTTGCGAACAAGAGAGATCATCGAAAACGCGTGAATTCGATAATTGACTCGTATTTATTTTTTTACCTTTATTTGTTTATATTTTAAAATTATATAAATTAAATAATAGATTAAATTTAAATTTATTTTTAGCATTTTATATTATCGTTAACAATAAATGGTAATATTTATTGTCGTAATCGATTGGACGCTGGGATTAAAAATTGCATTGCAAAGCGTCTACTGAAAGAAAATTGTTACCCTGACTAAATCTTTCGACTAAATATTATTTTGTTAATTGAACATGTAAAAATATTTTAATTCAATATAACATATTAAATGTAACAAAACATATACTTGACTTAAGTACTCATATGTATTCAATTAACACAATAATAATTTAGTCGAAAAGTTTAGTCGAGTTAACCATTTTTTTTCAGTGTGCAAAATAAAAAAAAATTGCCGTCTGACTTTCCGTTTGATTGTTTGCGGTCGTTGTTACTTTATTCAACGTTCCGAATTCCCTCGCGTTGTTCGTCGATAAATTTATTCCTACACACGCATTTTCGTCTCGAAAGTAATGTCACTTGTGACGTTACCGCTGTTATTTGACGTTCGATTAATCATTGCGCTTTTTAAATCGGCATGCGCCTGCTTTCTCGAATAATTCACGATCAAATTGAAACGCCGAGTCCAAGTCACGGCTGTGAAAGAAACACGACGAGGCGGGAAAAGAGCCGGCAAAACACACTTGTGGTGTAATCGCGCGATAACACCTGTCACAGATCTACAGCAAACTCGTCGTTTTTAACGACTCGCGTGAAGACGAAAATATAAGGCTTTTGCGTGGTATAAAACGAGCGATTACAGCTTTATAAATTTGATTTGAAATCCATTTTGCGTGCTAGCAATGAACTCGTCGGACGAGACATTTGCGTTTATGACAAGATTTCCGGGACGCGTTGAAGGACATATCCATACGATCGAGTAGTGAGTAATAGAATTTGTATTATAGTCGCATGAAAAATAATTAACTTTTTATACACTGGACAAAAATTATTCAATTAATAAATCTTTATTTCAATACTGCCTAATAAATCATTTATTCGAAACAAATAAATAAGGATTTTCTTATATCAAACAAGTATTTTTCACGTCAGATCAGTATTATTAATTTCAAACAAATGATTTATTTAGTAGTATTGAAATAAATACTTATTTGAATTCAATAAATTTTTTCAGTGTACAAAATGCCAAATATGATTTCTTAATCTTCTTTAAAATAATTAGATTCGATATTCGATAAAATATATCTTAAATGTATAAAATACTAGATACGTTAGCTCCACCGCATTAACATCCAATTTTATTATTTATTAAATTTGTAACTGATTATAGTCATCGAAGAGAAGTAATAGGGGATTAATTGAGTCGTACTTTTATATCTCGTATTTATTTCTATAATCGCGCAAACTAAATTAGCTGTCTACTTATTTATTTAAATAAAACCGATTCTGAATTTTATTCGTGAAATATTGAACATTCTTCTTTATTGATTGGGAAAAGCATGCTCGATGTTGCTCTGTTAATTGGGAACGGACTTTTTTTCTGACTGAATATTATATATTGATTGAGAGGGAGATATAATCACAATTTTTATCCTATACCGCAAACTTTTTCACGTATGTCGAAAGTTCTGAAATATGACGAGAGAAAGAGAGAGAGAGAGAGAGAGAGAGAGAACGAAATTCCTTCGCTCCCGATATTATTTAACGCGCGTCGCGAAACGGCGCGCTTTTGCGCAATTTACAAGCACGTATGCGCAATAAAGTGACCAACGCTCAGGTTTCAATCTCGCAGGTGCGAACAATTTGCTCGACGGTTAAGTACATGAACTTATCTATTTTCATACCGATGACAAAGCCATTTTAATTTTTTTTTCTCCGAATAGTTCGCTATTATAATATACTCGTATTTAAACTCGTCGATTTTTGTGCCTCGTGAAAGGAAACGGCCATTCGAATATTTCCCAAGTCGTGACAATGAATAATCTTCGTTGATTGCGCCAAAAAAAATTTCTGATATATGCGCG